TTCTACACATTGCCTCTCATTGGGCTCACATCTGATTACACATTTTGCAGTGCAAGAAAATGCAATCTTGTGAGCCAGATCTAGGTACTTTAGTCAAATTATGCACTTTTATTCATTTCGGAACGATGTAAATATCCTCTGAGATAATTACATGGATATCAATTTCCAGTCAGTTCTCCAGTCAAAATATGGATTGCATCTAAGTCACATAAGAAAATTTATTTGGTAAATGTGTTTCCATCATAATTTGATCATGTTTTCTCATTTAATAAAATTCAGACTTAATTATCTGAATACATGGACCTTTATAAACATTTTAAGTTTTTCTATGCATCTTGGAATTGCCATTCAACCGTTTTATGCATAATCATAAAAATAAGCAGATAAATATGTGGATGGAAATAGCTAGTGAATCATTTTTTTTTTACTTTCTGTTAATTTATTTTAATTAAAAGATTAGCACCAACATGTTCTGATTTCTGAAGACCAAATAACAGGAATAAATCACAGGGCTACAGTTATATTTAAAACATGTTTCTGGATGGATGGATGGATGGATGGATGGATGGATGGATGGATGGATGAATGGATAGATAGATAGACAGACAGACAGACAGACAGATAGACAGACAGATAGATAGATAGATAGATAGATAGATAGATAGATAGATAGATAGATAGATAGATAGATAGATAGATAGATAGATAGATAGATAGATATATAGATAGATAGATAGATAGATAGATAGATAGATAGATAGATAGATAGATAGATAGATAGTTGCTGCAGATTTGTCAGATGCACATCTGTGTAAATCTCCTGTTCCACCATGTCCCAACGGTGCTCTATTGGATTGAGATCTGGTGACTGGGGAGGTCATTTGAGTACTGCGAACTCATTGTCATGCTCAAGAAACCAGTCTGAGATGATTCATGCTTTATATTATGGAGCATTATCCTAAAAAAGATGGGTACACTGTGGTCATAAAGGGATGGGACATGGTCAGCAACAATACTCAGGTAGGCTATGGTGTTGACATGATGGTCAGTTAGTACTAATGGGCCCAAAGTATGCCAAGAAAGTAACCCCCCCCACCACCACCACCAGTCTGAACCGTTGATACAAGGCAGGATGGATCCATGCTTTCATGTTGTTGACACCAAATTTTGACCCCACCAACCGAATGTTGCAGCAGAAATTAAAAGAGATTTCTGATCAGACCAGGCAACGTTTTTCCAATTTTCTATTGACCAATTTTGGTGAGCCTGTGCGAATTGTAGCCTCAGTTTCCTGTTCTTAGCTTACAGTGTGGCACCCGTTGTGGTCTTCTGCTGCTGTAGCCCATCTGCTTCAAGGTTTGACGAGTTGTGCACTCAATGATGCTCTTCTGCATACCTTGGTTGTAACAAGTGTTTATTTGAGTTACTGTTGCCTTTCTTTTAACTGGAACCAGTGTGGCCATTCTTCTTTGACCTCTGGCATTAACAAGGCATTTGCGCCCACAAAACTTCTACTATGAGATGGTTTTGCATGAAAATCCCAGTACATCAGCAGTTTCTGAATCACTCAGACCAGGCCGCTTAGCACCTAAAACAATGTCATGTTCAAAGTCACTTAAATTACCTTTCTTCCCCATTCTGATGCCCGGTTTGAACTGCAGCAGATCGTCTTGAGCATGTATACATGCCTAAATGCATTGAGTTGCTGCCATGTGATTGACTGATTAGAAATTTGTGTTAATGAGCAGTTAGACAGGTGTACCTAATAAACTGGCCTGTAATATGTATATTTTTATAAAATACAGCTTTGGTGAGCATTAGATACTATTCAAAAAATTTTAAGACTACTGTATTGAATAACTGATATGTTTCCATAATAACTGAAATATTCTGTAATGAATAATGATGCATAATATTAATTCAATATTCTGTAATGAACAACCAATATATCATGCAACCAAACGTAGCCGAAGTGGTTAACGCGCATGCTTTGGTCAGTTTAAACTGATATATTTAGCAAAATAAATAAATGAAAAGTTGCGTGGGTTTAGAAAAATACATGGTTCTCTTAGAGCTCTTAAACTGACAAACACTTCCAAACCAAAACCATTCCCCAGAGAGCGCTAAAAATTCAGCATTTGTCCCGCAGTATGACCAAGGGTAGCTTAAATTTCAGCAAGTGATATGGAACAAGTATGCATTATGGGTGCATCGTTTTAGGCAGACATGCGGAGGCTGCCAGCAAAATCAGACTGTATCCAGAAATGTGAAGCAGTCCGCATATTATTGTCCCCAAAGATATGTCTCGTTTAATTGTATGCTTGAAATATGCGAGTTATTGAAAGATTCCAGAAATGTAAAATTAAAACAGGAGCCAGCAGTGGTTTGCAGTGAGGCACGGCAGCTCAGCTCTTGACCAATGACACATTGTCATTTATGTGGCAAAGAGAGCGCGAGGAAGAGGGAAAAGACATATTGTGCCGTGGATCAAGTTTCTTCCCTCAATTAAAATAGCAGTTTAACCATCTCCCTTCAATTTGTCAGATGGCTGGAGGGAAAATGAAAGGATTTTTCTCAGGTCTGTGTGAGTGGTTGGGTGGAACTGGGTCTTCTAAGAAGTCGACCCAGGGCGTCTGTCCGGTGTTGCGGCCACAGCTCTCGTCATAGCTGTCATTTGCTCTAATCTCTCCTTCGTCTGCCCAGCTCTATTTTAAAGCCTCTTTTCATCCACAGCCAAAAGAAGCAGGCACAGAGTTGCAATCTGAGCACTGGAAGAAAACTGATCTGGCACCAGTGTTAATTTATACACATTTAGTCTTGTCTTATAGAGCGAAATGCTAGTATTTTCATTCATTCATTCATTTTCTTGTCGGCTTAGTCCTATTATTAATCCGGGGTCGCCATAGAGGAATGAACCGCCAACTTACCCAGCACGTTTTTACGCAGCGGATGCCCTTCCAGCTGCAACCCATCTCTGGAAAACATCCACACACACTCATTCACACTCATTCACTACGGATAATATAGCCTACCCAAATCACCTGTAGCACATGTCTTTGGACTCTGGGGGAAACCGGAGCACCTGGAGGACGTGAACGCAGGGAGAACATGCAAACTTTACACAGAAACGCCAACTGACCCAGCCGAGGCTCGAACCAGCGACCTTCTTGCTGTGAGGCGACAGCACTACCTACTGCGCCACTGCGTCGCCCATGCAAGTATTTTTTCATACAAATTATTTAAATTTTATCCCCATTCCAAAAAAGTGCCAAATTAAACCAGATATTTATTACAAATGTTAAATTACTTCTTCTAAATGTTCTTTTGTGCTGCAAGAACCTAATCAACATTATGAAATGATTTATGTATAATTGTTTAATTATCAAAATTCTGCTTTAACAGGACAGAAATAAATTTATTTAATAAAAACTGAAAAAAATAATATATTGTTATTTAGATTTTTTTTTTATGTCAATTAATTTTGATCAAATGAATCCAAAGCAAATAAACTGAGCAAAGAGGCTTGTTAAAACGTGTAAAAGAAAATATATATACATAATATATATAATAAATATATAAAGAATAACTCAGCCCACACACACACACACACACACACACACACACACACACACACACACATACACATACACATACACACTCAATACATATACACACTCAATTTAATTAAGGTTAATAATTTCAAACATGTTTTTACATGATTGGCCATGAGGGGGCACTGTTGCAATATCACAAATACAATTTGGAAACGCCAAATGTGCAAAGACAAACTTTGACATATACTGAGAGTATTCAAATGAGTGATTTCGATTTATGCCAGCTGTTGTTCATCATATTGCTGCAGTGAAATTGATGCCACTATGACTTTAGTAATGTTTTGAAATGTGAAGAAATCATATTTATGAACTCAAGATGTCTGCGTCTACTGGTAGCATTTCAGTTCTGTGGCTGGAAGAATTAGCGTAAAAGATAAATGTGTATGTTTATATGAGGAAAAGGGTGGAGCGGGTGCACACAGATGTATGTGGTTTCTTCATTAGTGTTTCCATCATGTGGTGTGCAGAGTAATCAGATCAGTCATAATTTAATGATCATCACATTAGGCAGATTTCTTTTGAAGAAGATTGTGTGTATGTGTGTGTACATGTCTGTGACCTACAGTATGGATGTAAAGTCTCCTCTTCAAGTTTTGTTACCAAAGGCTTGCATGTGACACTGGGCCACAAATAAGTGTCAATTTTTGGATACTGAGATTTATGCATGATCTGGAAGTTGAATAGATTGAACTAAACCTTTCCATTGATGTATGGCTAGTTAGGATATTTAGTCCAGATAAAACTATTAAAAATCTGGAATCTAAGGGGTTTAAAAAAATTTAAATACTGATAAATTTGCCTTTAAACTTGTCCAAATGATGTTCTTAGCAATGCATATTACTAAAAAAAAATTATACAAAATACATTAACGATAAGAATTGTACAAAATGTCCTCATTGAAGATGATCTTTATTTAGTATTCTAATGATTTTGATAAAAGAAAATGATAATTTTGACCCATACATGGTATTTTTGGCTAATTCTACAATTTTCTGACCACATATATTCTCAATCAGCAATCAGTAAGGCTCAATTGATCATGTGACATAAAAGACAGGGGGGGAAAAAATCAAATACAAACCAGTTATTTTAAGTCATAAATGATGTTGATGCAGTATGGATGTCCAGTGTCCTCCTCCATGTTAAAATGTGATAAAATAATAAAAACACAAGCTTTGTGTCTAAAGGTTTTTATATTTTTGATCACCAATCAGCAAGACTCAGTGGACCATGTGACATAAAAAAATAATGGTGTTGTCTTTATATATTTATTGTTGTAAATAACTGTGTTTAATAGTAGACTATAGTAAAGTACTATGCTCACTTCTGAGGTAATGTGAAATAGCTCGGGTTCATGCCTCAAGATCAGATGTTTTGTCTTGACAGCTGGACCACAGGTAAATGGGGAGTGTGTAGCAGAACATGTGGAGGTGGCCAGCAGACGAGAAACATCCGCTGCCTGAGGAAGGTGACGTACCAGCGGGAGGAGGTGGCCGCTCAGTCCTTGTGCCCAGTAATGGCTCCGGCTCAACTACAGCCCTGCAACACACAGTCATGTCCTCCAGAGTGGAGTACCAGCTCCTGGACCCAGGTACTGTTGGATTACACACAATATTCTGTCAATTCTTTGCACTTTATGTTTTTTTTCAGCATTTTAGTTTTTGTGGTTTGAAAAGAGTGGATTCACAATGTCACTTGTACAGTCTGACTAGTGTGTAATTGTATTGTGTTAAGTTTTAAGATGTTTTGTAGAGTATACTGTATATGCAGTCAGGTATATATGTTTAGGATAAATAGGATAGGTTATTTTGTTTTGCTTAAGTTTCAATGATGACCAAATATATTACAAAACCTACAGAGAAACAAAACAAGAAAAAAAGTATATCTTATTACTTTATTTTAGGGTACAATTCTTGCTATTGCCAAACCATTACCTATGACATTTCACTCAACAAACTAATTTGCTTATTAAGGTAATGAGATCATACAGAATATGTACTTTACACAGTAAGTGCTAACAAATAGCCATTATCTTAATATTTGCTAGGTAATAAGTCACGGCTCCTACACAGGAGTGTGTAACATAAATATGCATCACAACACATTATCTATCACCATCTATTTCTTTCCATTAGAATAAATAGGATGTTGTATTGCAAATATAGTCAAAAGAAGAAGAAAAACAGACCAGATCGTGCTGAAATTCAGAAATTCTGCTAATGCCTATTATATAAACACCCCCTTAAATTGTAACCCCTTCAGATTCATTTTTTGTAAAATGCTCAAACAGTTCCACTTTAAAGCAATAAACCTTAGATAGAATAAATAGGATGTTGTATTGCAAATATAGTCAAAAGAAGAAGAAAAACAGTTAAAATTAGTTAATTCTAACTATCTAACTGAATAAATAAATAAGATTGCTAAAATATTCATATAAATGTTATATAAAATAATAATAATTATAAAATTGTTAAATTCAGTTGACCAAAAGGCCTGAAATGTTCTCTTTTATTCTGTTAGATAGTTTTACAAATGTATGGGCTATTTTCAATCCAACTCTTGTATTTAACTCACTTTATTTTGCAAATCATGTTATAATAAATCAAATTTAGTTGTCTGAGCTTGACCAGATCGTGCTGAAATTCAGAAATTCTGCTAATGCCTATTATATAAACACCCCCTTAAATTGTAACCCCTTCAGATTCATTTTTTGTAAAATGCTCAAACAGTTCCACTTTAAAGCAATAAACCAAATATTGAAAGGAATATTTGAGATGGCCAGAGTAAATTGTAAAAGCATCAGAGCTGAAACATTACTGCCCCCTGCTGTTATTGAACATGTAGCGCATTCTGCTTCATCCGTCTCACTCTTGTTTACATTCAGAGTGCATTCTGCACATGGTTGAAGTGACCATGCATTGTTTGGGAGTACAAATGAGCACACTGTTTAATCTAAAATCTTGTAACATGCTTTGCCATAGCATATCTGCTGGTTTAAATATAGTTTTTATGTGTCTGAAAGATTTTTTTTTTCATATAAACAGGAATTCCAGAGAATGTTGAAACACACCAAAGTTCATTTGATCAGTAGCAGAGAAGCTGAATCTTTAAACTTTTTTTTTTTCAGTCTAATTTGATGAAATATGGTAAATCATAAATCATTGTTACACATAAAGCGTTTGCAATCTTTGAGAAATGGTAGTTGATATTGACTAAATTCCTCCTTTAAAGGTCAGAATAAGTTCACAGCGCCTGTCTCCAGAGTTCATATCAACTGTTGTTGGAGGTGAAACTGCGTGCCACTGTGACCTTTACAATGCTTAAACTAACATCACTCAAAGACCGCATGAGGGTAACTCTCTTTCTCTCTGTTTATCTTTCTTTTTCTCTCTTCTCTGAAGTGCTCGAAGACCTGCGGACGAGGCTTGAAGAAGCGCAGTGTTTTCTGCAGGAGCACTGATCCAGGTGCCAGGGCTGTGGTGGTGCCTGACAGCATGTGTAAATTACACCTGAAGCCCAAAGCCCAGGAGAGCTGTGTGCTGAGCCGCTGCCCCAAGAATGAGCGTCTTCAGTGGATAACTAGCGCCTGGGGAGAGGTAAGGCCCTCATAGGAATATCAAAGGTTATGTAGAAGCACTCGCACAAACTGTTCATATATAGAATGTGCATACATTGATGGTAATAAAATGTTGTTATGCAAATCACACACAGTAACATCCAAATTCAGACAACATACATGATGTTGGTGTGTGATGCAATCCAATGCAGTTTAGGTTGTGGCTAGATTAATGTGGATTCACTTAAAAACATTTTGATTAAGTTATTGTGTTAAAGCTAATAAAAGTTAGTTTTCTAAGATAGGCCAGAACATGCTTTGCCTACGTTAAGTTTCAAATCCACATTGCAGCAGTAGAAAAAGTATAAGTCATCTTAATGCATATTATTCATTCATTCATTTTCCTGCTGCTTGGTCCCTGAATTTATCACAGCGGATTGAACCAGCAACTATTCCGGCATATGTTTTACACAGCGGAGGCTTTTCCCAGCACAGGGAAATTATTGTATATCCATAAAAGTAAAAAAAAATATTAATAAAAAGGACAGAAATGGTGATTTAAGTGATGATATTAAGAGACCAGACATGAGTGTGTTTTCAGCCTAATCTTCTGGTATAATATTTTTTCAGCAAAATATTTAAGTAATTACAGGCTCATTCATGTCACACTTATGTTATGCTTCAGGTTTGTTATTGCAAATTAAATTTAGGTCATTTAAGTAATTCAGTTGGAATATTGGGCATATTAACATTTATATTTACGCTACAAAGTATAAGTGAATAACGTGTAGCTGGCTAATGCTGGTAAAGACATTGATATCTATATGTACAAAATGTATCTGTTGACTAAACATCCATCATCATTTTTTAGAAACAGCATTTTCAAAGGTGTGATAGAGTTCCTTGATTTAATGTTAAATTGTTCTCTGGTATATACATAGAAAGTATGTGGCTTAGGTAATATCTGAAATTTTCCAGAAACAGTTTTGGTCACACTTTACTTTGATGGTCCGTTTGTTAAATTTAAGTTACATTGCATCTACATGACAACTGATTCTCATTAAATTGTAAGTAGAGTATTAGGTTAGGGTTAGTGTAAGATCACATGTACTTGCAAGTTTCTTATAGTCAGTTAAATGTCTGTTGAAGGAGCAGTATCGACAGATATAAAGAAGAAAGTCTACTAATACTCAAATAGACAATCAAAATAGTGTTACAACAGTTTTATATCCTCTTGACTATTTTGAGGGATGTAAACAAAAACAATGGTCCCAACATATTTCCTGCTTTACATTTTTAATTCAATAGCTTCAAAGAATCCAAAAAGAGCCACATATTGCTAAATTGTCATGGTATGCGTTTTAACATTAAGTTATGAATGATTTGTCTCTTGTTACAGTTATGAAGTAGTTTGATAACAAGCAGGACATGTTCATGGGCCAATAGCATCACCACAATGAAATGGTCTATAACTTCAGGAATTACCACTATACACTTATCTTGAGCAGTTTACATGTGTTTTTTGCTTCATTACATACAAACAACCGCAAATTACACAATATACATGATAAACTAACAAAATATACATTTAAACAGCTTTGTAAAACAGTATTTGCAAAATGTTGTGTTCTGACAATGAGCTGTCATGAGATGAGATACTTCATGCCTGGTTTTGGTACCTGAAAGCTCTATATTTACAGTTTCATTTTCAAAATAAGAGTCCCACATATATAGTAAGTATAATACAAGCTTAGATCAACTTCATAATAAGAATGAGTTTATCATTGTTATAATTTTATTAGAAGTGTTGAATACATTAGATTATAATAATAATACAAAAGTTATAAAAAAAAAAAAAACTAAGTAAGTTTTAAGTGACTCATGATTGTAATATATTACTTCTAAAAGTAACTTAACCCAACCCTGCCCATTAGGAAGTGTTATGGCCAATTAAACACTGCGTGTGCGTGGATATTAATGATCCTTTGTGGATCGTCAGAGTCTTTGTCGATTTTCTCATTGGCATTTTGTTTTACCCTCATAGGATTTGCATGGAAACAATGTGTTATCTAATTGTTGGGTTATTTGACAGTGTTCGGCCTCCTGTGGAGCAGGAGTAAGGAGAAGAGAGCTGCACTGTGGGGAGAAAGACTCTCAAGGAGGCTACACCGAGTTCCCTGCGAGGAGGTGCAGGAACTTACAAAAGCCTGAAGCAGATCTCGAGCAATCCTGTAATAACGGCCCTTGCCCAGAGCCCTTGGCACCCCAGCTCCTCCAGCCTGGCGGACCTTCTGTGACACTGGGCTGGTACTCTTCTCCTTGGCTGCAGGTTTGTGTAACTAGCTCTTCATAACTAATCAGTCCTTTGTTCTGTCTCTATTCTGCCAAGGCTCTAATATTTCGGTCCTGTCTCTGTGTATTTCAGTGCACAGTGTCCTGTGGTGGTGGGGTGCAGACACGCAGTGTTCAGTGTCTGAGACAGGGGCGTCCGTCAGTGGGCTGTTTCCCTCACCAGAGACCGATAAGCTCACGGGCCTGCAATACACACTTCTGTCCTGCTCCAATCCCAGTGCCAGTCCCACCTCCTTCACCCACTCTTAAAGGTAAAAGCTGCTTTAGTTTAACATTTGACATTCGAATCAAACAAAACATCATTTTCAGTCTGTACTGCTATTTAAACACTTTTGGTCAGTAAAATTATAAAATAAAAAGTGCTATAAAGCAAGTATAACTAAATACTGTTTTAAACTTTCTACTAACTCTTTTTCCCACCATTGACTAGAAATCTTGTCTCAAATTATAAGATAATCAGAGAACATTAAAGTCAGATTGCATTTAAAAATGAAGAGTTGTACAGCTTTTCTTTGATTACTTTTGATTGCCTCAGCAAAGAGATCCATTCCTAAGTGTGTGTGCATTTTCTCTGTTTTTTGTCAAAATGTTGCAATTTGCATTCAAGTGGTGATAAAACATGATCACATCATATATGGTCATATATTTCTAGCAGAAAATGTTCTAAGGCACTGTCAATTTTAAGTGAAAATCATAAAAAGAAACAAAAAACCGGTGATGGCTGGTAACTTCATTCATTCATTCATTCATTTATTCATTGGTTTTCTTTTCTGCCTAGTCCCTTTATTAATCTGGGGTCTAAGCAGCGGAATGAACCGCCAACTTATCCAGCATATGTTTTACGCCATCACTGCACCCAATTCACCTATATACCACATGTCTTTGGACCGAAGGAACCCGAAGGAAACCCACATGAACACGGGGAGAACATGCAAACTCCACACAGGGCTGGCAACTTTAAAAAAAAATTACTGGCAGGGAAGGGGTAATCAAACAGAACTAAAAGCAATATTATGGTTTTCAAAAAATATTAAGCAGCATTACATTTTTTAAGACTGATAATAATGATAATAATAAGTATTATTAAATTATATTAGAAGGATTTGTGACACAGCAGACTTGAATAGTAGCTATCACATGAATACATTTGATCATTTATCTTAAACAGGCAGTCACTTGAGAAGTGCTCAAAACAAACGCAGTGGCGCAGTAGGTAGTGCTGTCGCCTCACAGCAAGAAGGTCGCTGGTTCGAACCTCGGCTCAGTTGGCGTTTCTGTGTGTAGTTTGCATGTTCTCCCTGCCTTCATGTGGGTTTCCTCCGGGTGCTCCAGTTTCCCCCACAGTCTAAAGACATGCAGTACAGGTGAATTGGGTAGGCTAAATTGTCTGTAGTGTATGAGTGTGTGTATAAATGAGTGTGTGGATGTTTCCCAGAGATGGGTTGCAGATGGAAGGGCATCCGCTGCGTAAAAACATTCTGGATAAGTTGGCGGTTCATTCCGCTGTGGTGACCCCGGATTAATAAAGGGACTAAGCCAACAAAAAAAATGAATGAATGAAATTGGCGGTAGTGTATGTGTGTGCATGTGAGAGTGTGCGGGTGTTCCCAAGTACTGGGTTGCAGCTGGAAGGGCATCTACTGTGTTAAACCTGTGCTGGATAAGTTGACAGTTCATTCCGCTGTGATGACTCCTAATGAATAAAGGGACTAAGCCAAAGGAAAATAAATGAATGAACGAATGAATGAATAAATAAATGAATGAATGGTTGCCATCCTTAAGACCTGAACTCCCACTTTTACCTCAACTCTTATCTCGCTCAACAGTACCTGCAATGCCTGAGAGGACACATCACTGAATGTTTATTGGTTATGACTTACCGCTGAATGTTTGTTTGTTAAGGACTCTCATATCTCGCTCTGTAGAGGAGCTGGCGGAGCATGACGTTAGTAATGTCATGGGTTGGATTCTCAGGAAACATTTACTGATAAAATGGATACCTTACTTTGGCTAAAGCATCTGCCAACTGCATAAATGTATACATAATTTCAGTGCGTTTTATTGTTGTTTTGATTCACATGTATCAAAGGCAATTATCAAGCTTCACTAATAGAATTAGAGTTTATATTAATACATTATGTATTAGTTGTAAAAACAATGTGCAGTTTGCTTGTTGATTCAGTTGATAACAAGTCAACTGAATTATATATCCACAGAAGAGTGAAATACAATGTGTGATTAAACATCATCAATTAATATCATAATAGTATGACTTATACCAGTATTTCTCAACCACATTCCTGGAGCACCACCAAATTCTGCATGTTTTGGATTTCTTTTTTGTCTGTCATACCCTTTACAGAGCTGTTTCTCGATTCCCAGACTTGCGTTCTCATGGAGAGAAGTCTTGCCAGGTTACCTCTATAGAACGAATTCGGAAGACGGCGAGAACACAGAAAGCGCCCTGTGAGAAATGAGATGCTGCTCTTGCTGATGGTCACATGACCTTCACATATTTGTAACGGACAAGGATTTAAACATTACAGCATTCATACAACGATTTATTGTTTTCTCCCTTTTCAATACATATACCATGCACAAAATTCTCATTGAGGGAAACTCAATAAGTTATATCTCTGAACTTCATTAATAAACGGGTATAGAATGCTGTGCTTCCCACCTCCTTTATTTAGCTGAAATGACTTCTGGGACTTCTCGAGCGAATTTAGTGCTTAAGACTGCATTGACGCATCCTCGATATCAAGAACACATCCGGGAACTTTCACACGTCTTCCGTTGGTCTTGAGTTTTTGAAATGAACTTTTACGGTTGATGATTACCTTTCACGAGAACACAAGGATGCAAGAACGCATACTAAGAAACAGCCCAGGTCTTTTAGTCTCTGCTATTGAGCTGATGATCTGAATCAAGTGTGTTTGGTTAAGAAAACATAAAAAATGTGCAGAGCTGGTGGACCTCCAGGAATGTAGTTGAGGAACACTGACTTATGCAATATCAGTGGTGTAAAGTAAGAAATTACAAATACTCAAATTACTGCAATTGAGTCATTTTTCTCAGAAATTGTAATTTACTAAGTAGTTGTGTACTTTTACTTTCCCTTGAGTACATTTTTAGTGCAGTATTGGTACTTTTACTCCACTACTTTCCTTCAACCAGCAGTCACTACTTAATTATTTCTTGTCTACAGGGATTATAAAAATCAGTCTTATGATTTCTGTCCAATCAATTTGCACATAGAAAGTAAATCGCATCATAATGAACTACCTCAAGATATGCAGCAAACCGTCTGGAAGCATTAAAAGTCTCCAAGAGGATACTTTACACGCAATGACCCAGAGACTGTTTAAACTGGATGTCACTGATGAGAAGATGACGGATGTTTACTGTATGATGACCAAAATGGCCTTAAAGAATCACTAAATGCACTTCAGAATGTTACGTTTACACACACACACACACACACACACACAAATTACATGTTAACACATCAACCTCATCGTAATACTCACTACTCTTGAGTACGTTAAAAAGGGCTACTTTTTACTCATACTTTGAGTAATATTTACAGCAGATACTTTTACTCTACTTGCCCTATATTTTTGGGCAAGTAATAGTACTTTTAAGTATGATTTACTCGGTACTCATTACTCACCCTCCACTTGCTCCAAACCTATCTGAGATTTTTTTTTCTTCTGTTGAACAGTTTTTTTTTCTCAAAGAATGTTGGAAACCAGTGCCCATTGACGTCCACTGTATTTATTTATTTATTTACTTTGGATGTCAATGGCAACCCTTTTCCAACTATCTTCAAACATTCTCGTGTTCAATAGAAGAAAAAAATAGCATAAACATTAGCATTTCACTTCATAAGACGTTAGTGGGAGCCAGGGGCAAACGTTTTGTTTGTGATATGTTTATACTGTTGTTTCATTAGCCTTATTTAATGTTATTTAGAAGGTAAAAGTCACCTACTTCATGAATGGTCTAGCTGTGTTTAAATCAACAGCACTTTTTCATTTTTGGGTGAACTTTACATTTAATTATAACGATTTTGAAAACTCGAAAACATATTAAAATATTCATTCATTTTCTTTTTGACTTAGTCACATTATAATTCATGGGTCGCCACAGTGGAATGAACCGCCAACTCATCCAGAATATGTTTTACGCAGCGGATGCCCTTCCAGCCGTAACCCAACACTGGAAAACATATTGATATATGTTTTTTTATTTATTTTGGTAGTACTGAGCACATAACACAAAGGACAGAACTGTGTTTGTGTGCATAATTGTTCATTCCCATGGGAGATTTCAGTTTGAGGGTCTTCAGAGAGCAGGTCAGGTCCTTATCAGTATGCCAGAGCTGTATTTCCAAGTGGTTAGCAACCTCTCTGCAACGTCTCTATATTCATGGTAAACAGCACTTACTCAAAAGTGTTTCTTCAGGCTTAAATAAAAGATCCAGTCATTTTTATTTCTGTAGCACTTTATACAATGTGGATTGTGTCAAAGACATTTTACATTGATGAACAGGAAATGATGAGAAGGTACTCAAAATAATAGTCATTTTGTGTCTTTCCGTTAACAGAAGACCAGCCATGCATTGACTTCTTCAGCTGGTGTCATCTGGTGCCTCAGCATGGTGTTTGCAATCACAAATTCTACGGTCAACAATGCTGCAAGTCCTGCTCCGCAAAGAGACAGTAAAGCAGAAAATCTTCACTTCCCTCAGGCCTCCTCACTGACTCTGAGATCTGTAAATCCTTGTGATAAAGATGGCCACTATGGACAAAGTTGATATTTGCGAGATGTGGTACAGAAAGAGAAATTCCAACAGTCCGTGTCTTGGACTGATAAGAGATAATGAGAGCCTGGTGTCCGAGGAACTCAAAAACACATTGGACTGATTCTGGCTTTATTGGAGGTTTTTCAAAAGCCAATCTACGGAACATTTACATTGTAAATACCTTTGTTTGTTCTCCTTTGATTGGAGATGCAAGCATCAGTTAAAGCCATTAAGAGACAGCTATATGCTACATTGATGAGAACCATTGGCGTTACTCTGGTCAATGTGTGGCTGTGCACTCCTGAAGTACTGTAGAATTTGTGTTTCCTCTTTGAGCTCCAGACGAACCCATAAAACAATATGTTTACCAGCAAGTTAATGAAAACCGAAACACAACATCCTTAGAGCCCATTCATACCATTTTTGTTCCACTGCACTGCTTTTTAATTAATTTCTGTGTAAACACTTACTTAAAGTTACACAAACTAATTTCGAGAGAAGCACGTGATATGATTGATTGCAGCTGGTCTCCCATCCATAATCATTAGTAAGCCAATCAGATTAATCCAAACTCACTATAAATAGCCCGTCTAGTGCCCACTATAAATCCATCCCATCTCCCCTTTTTCCTCCTTAACAGGGTGAGCTCTCGAGAACTATCTGATCTCGGACACCCTTACATGCTCATTGACCATACGGGAGCCCTCGACTCAAACATCTCCGAGCTCAGGGTTCTCTCCCAGGACAGCATACCAAACCTGTGAATGTTATCAAGCCAATATCTTAAGTGCGAACTCTTGAAGTGACGTTTCACAAACTAATTTCAAGAGGAGCATGTGGTATGATTGATCGAGACTGGTCTCCCATCCCTAATCATTACTAAGGCAATCAGATTAATTCAAACTCCCTGTAAATAACCCGTCTAGTATTACTCCCTTATCTTCGTTTTTTGAAGAATCCCCCATCCACCCCATTTCCTCCTTTACCAAGAGGATTTGTTGAAAACTATCTGATCACGGACACCTTTACATGCTCATCAACCAGGAGGGAGCCCTGGGCTCAATTATTTCCAAGCTCAGGGTTCTCTCCCAGGACGGCATGCTAAACCTACTAATGTTATCAAGCAATATCTAAGTGTGAACTCTTGAAGTGAAGTTTCACTAACTAAAGCTGCGGGGTCACACTGGAGTTTGAGCATGCGAAATTCTGTCGGACGGTGCTGCGAAAAGGGGTGGGAATAAACAAGATGATTAGACATTTAAAAAAGCGAGCGATTGGTCCGTATTTAAAATTTCTGTCCAGAGATGTCATGTTTTAATCCGCGATTGGTCTCACGCAGTCAAATGATGCGATTTTGCAGGTCAGAGTCACCAAGTTTGAACTTTGCAACGCAGTGAACTACGAAACTTGATGCATGACTTTGCGTTTTCGGTCTGACGCATTCATGTGCGTATGAATGGAAGTCTATGGGGAGAAACGTCCAGTGTGAGCGCAGCTCAATTTTGAGAGGAGCACATGATATGATTGATTGAGAACTACCTGATCTCGTACCCCCTTACAAGACCAGGCGGGAGCTCTGGGCTCAATAATCTTCGAGCTCAGGGTTCTCTCCTGGGACAGCATGCCAAACCTGCTAATATTATCAAGCAATATCTAAGTGTGAACTCTTGAAATGTGTCTTTCTCTATTCCGTGCCGCACTGCTTTTTCAGTGTTTTGCACAGAAGAGTCTCATTTTCGTGACAATTATCAACGTGTCTCGTGTTTTAAATGCATATTTTGTGAATGACAACATTTTAGACTACACAGAAAACTTTATGTATTTTGGCTTTTCATTTACACTACAGCAACAGTTTGAGGGCAAACATTTGGAGAATGCATTTTTTTTACTATTATTTCCATTTTTCATTCCAAGAAACACGATGTAGTCAAAACATTGGCATCATGTACTTTACAACAGTCAAGGAACATTTGCTTTAATTTAAAATGCAGATTGGAATTCAAATTGGATTTCATTCATGCTAAATTTGCTAAAAAAAATGCAGAAAAAGTAAGGACATTTTAATTGCGCCTGCTTTACATGACTGCTTTATTAAATCAGGAAATATTTTGAATCAGTGTTTTTGGTGCAATAAGAAGTGCAGTGTACATTCATGTTTCATTTTTTACACCCCTAAACAGCCTAACTACATCATATCATATTTTCCTTGGCAATCAAAACCCTTTTGATGATCTCATGTTTACAAACTAACTTAAGACTTGCCAAAATCGCCAGTCAAGAGAGCGTCCATGTATGTAGGCTTCTGATTTTAACACATTTTAACATGCGCAGATTATCTCTGTGGAACTGCTGAGACTTGTAAAATTGATTCGCAATCCCATGTGATCAGCACAGAAGTCTAAAGCAGACAAGATAGATTTATCATTAATGAAGATCAGCGCTTCTGCTGAAATATGTAGTGGGTCCATCGACGGATGAACTACGTTTGTGTATGTGCGCTAGTGTGTGTCATTTGTTCATGCAGTGCTATCTCCCACACGGCGTACGAGAGGGCTGAGCTCGTCCCAGATGTGTGTCAGAGAGAGTAGAGTAACTTGCTCTCAGTCACTTTAGAGGGACCAATTAGTGTGCAGGAGTGAGTGTCATGTTCAGGAGGAGGAGCAGCTAACAAACCCAAGCCTCCCAGGACTCGGGACCTCATCTCAGTTTACTTTGTTAGAGCTCTCCGTCTCTTTCTCTTCCAACTCTCGGAGTGCTGCAGTTGTTTTGTGCTTAACAGAAGAGTGGAGTTTCACCTCGCACAGGGTTCAGGTATGACGGTCGTGCTCTAGCAATAAACATTAGAGCAGATGGCACAAGAGGTATAGCATCAGCACTCGTTCTGTCCTCATTTCATTCCAAACACTTCATTACCAGTCCCCAATCCCTTGAAGGGATATTTGCATACACTAATAAGTGCAAAAGGTCACTTTTAAAAGTGGATGTTGCACTGCAGGGTGCAGTTCTTTCTTTGCAGAACCATTTCAAAGGGTACTTCCGTTTATTTTTAGTTGTATAACTTCTGGATGTCCATTAATGAACTCTCGGTCTCTGTACTCGACTTTAAAAGTGTTCCTAATCATGAACAAATGGGGAAATACATTGTTTAGCCTTGTTGTGATGTTATGTATGTTGTACAAATGATGAGTTATGTCTTTTCTCACTGTCTGGACGGAAAAACGTTGTAATTTATTACTATGTCAAAATAGTTCCTGGGCTACAGTGTTGTCTGGAGAGGAGCTTCCTGTATAATAGCACACTGTAAGTGTGATATTTAATATTTTCGCTGAAAGTTTTATAATAAAAAAGTATTTGATTTACTGTATCCCTCCAGTGAGGCTTTTTCCGCTTAGTGGTCTTGCAACGGCGAGAACAGAAAGCACTTGAACGATGAAAACGCTGCAATATTTAAGGGATGAAAAATGATATGCTGTCATCACAACAAATTACTATGAACATCAAGCCAGCAGCAAAGTGGGTTTTAAATAAAATACTCCCTAGCATAATATCGACAAGGAAAACAGACTTGGTCTTCATGTAAATATAAAACATTGTTTAAATTGTGCCACTATAAGGGACAGATTATCAGTGGTGAAAAGTAACAAATTACAAATGACTGTATTTGACTAGTTTTTTTTAGGAATTGTAATTTACTAAGTAGTTTTAAAAATGTATACTTTTCTCTTGAGTACATTTTTAGTGCAGTATCTGTACTTTTACTCTACTACTTTCCTTCAACCTGCAGTCACTAATTTCTTGCTTTCTTGTCTATGGTAATTGGCTAAAGTAGAAAAATCAGTCCTGTGATTCTTGTCCAGTCAAATCGCACATAGAAAGTAAATCAACCTCAAGACATGGGTGCTTTATAAATGCAGCGATCCTTTTAGAAGCATTAAAAAAGGCCTAGAAGGTGTCCCAAGTTTTTGCACACAATGACCCAGAGACTTTTTGTTGACTGCATATCACTGATGAGAAAATGAAGGATGTTGTCTGTATGATAACTGAAATTACCTTACAAGGATTCAAAGAAGGACTCTACAAATGAAGGAATGAATGAATGAATGAAAGTCCTAATGAAGGACGGAGCAAAAATGTGAACGAACGGACAAATGAATGAGTAAACGAATTAAACTAGCAGGCACACAACATCATAAGACGTTATTATTAGGTTAGATTTAGGTCATGATGTCAGGTGACCAAAATTTAATCTCTAGCAAGTGTCTTAGAACAACATTATTTTGACATACAATAACATTGTCAAATTACGTTGATATCTGGTTGTTATTTTGTTTTGGAAAGTGACCAAAATCCAACGCCTGACAGATATCACAGTGATAACATCCACATAATGTCAAGGTGTAACATAATTAGACATTGATTTTTGGTTTATTTAAGGTTGGATATTGCTGTCAGCCTGATGTTGGGTTCTGATGTCAACCCGAATTTCATTTCCAAACAAAATCCAATGTCCCCACAAAATTGGGGTATGAGGGGTACAACATCAATATGACATCATGTTGATGTCCTGTGCCTGCAGGGAAGGGAGGAACAAAGGAAGGAACAAATTAATGAAGAAAGGATGTAAGGAAGGACTGAACAAACTAAGGAAGGAACTAATAAATGAAATAACAAAACACCTAATGAAGGAAGGAACAAAAATATGAACGAATGAACAAATAAATGGGTGAACGAATGAAGGGAGGAACGAAGGAAAGAACAAATTAATGAAGAAAGGATTGAAGGAAGTACTGAACAAACAAAGGACTGAAGGAACGAATGGTCGAATGAATGAATGAATGAACAAAGGACCTAATAAAGGAAGGTAAAAACATAAACAAATGAACAAGTGAACAAATGAAGGAAGGAACGAAGGAACAAATGAATGAAGGAACGAACGAACAACGAATGAATAAAGAACAGAACAAACAATGGAATAAAGGTTAGAAGGATCGAACGAATGTAGGAAGATCACAAAATGCACTACAGAATGTTACGTTTACACATCCCCGCACAAACTGCATGTAAATGCATCAACTTTTCACAGCATAATACCCACTACTCTTGGGTACTTTTAAAAGGGTTACATTTTACTCATATTTTCAGTAATATTTACAGCAGATACTTTTAATCTACTTGCATTAGATTTTTGGGCAAGTAATGGTACTTGAGTATGATTTTTCACTACTCTTTCCACCACTGATAATGATAAGCTATAAACACTAAAACGGAAAACCTCTGATACACAGAACAATGTTTCCCAGCCAATCCTAATGTGAAATAACCCAAACATTCGTATTCCTTTCTTTCCTCTTTGTGTTCCAGGCAAAATGTTCCTGTGTGTACTAAATGCCCCAGTAAATCACACTGAGTTTGCTTAAGCCCTCCCTTGGCACTCTTGAATATCTCTTCCTCCTCATAGTATGCACGCATTTGTCATTTTTGTCATATTTCTTAATTTCCTGTGTGTACAATTATTTGTGATAATTTCTGACAGCATCGAGAGACTCGTAAAAGAAAGGAGCAATTCCTCATCCGTGTCACTGGATGCACAGACACTGATTATGAAGACTGAATACCAAGCACGTCTGTGGCATTTCTATATCCTCTTGTGCATGGTGCAGACTCGCTTTGTTTCTCTCTCTCTCTCTCCTCACACAAACATGCACACAGAAGACTCTTCACTCTCACAATTCACTGTGTCACTTCAGCTCTGGCAGTATGATGCTTCTTTGGAGTACCGCTCACTTTTGACAGGTTTTCTAATCACATCTTAACAGGGCGCTGGCCGTGAGCACGCTCTCTTTCACTCTCTCTTTCTCTCCTTCTCAGCCCTTAGATGAAGTGAGAGCTGTCATCTCTTCCAGACATATCTCCAGTCATCAGCTAAAGGTCATCATCCAGCATC